TTTAATTTTATATTGAATATTTTATTTAAATTATTATTATATAATTTATATCGAATATTTACTTTCTTAATATATCTACTATTGGACAAATGTATTATCTACAAATTCATTTGCATAAAATATAAAATTCCTTTATATTCGAAGAAATTAAAGAAAATTTAATTTTTAATTAAATTTTTAATTTTATATTGAATATTTTATTTAAATTAATATTATATAATTTATATCGAATGTTTAATTTCTTAATATATCTACTATTGGACAAATGTATTATCTGCACATTCGTTTGCACAAAATATAAAATTCATCATTGAAAAATACAAAATTCATATATTTATACCATAACTTTATTTTTAAACGGTAGAACTGTCGACGGATATTGAGTAGCTGAATACAGGGTGATTCATAAATATATGGTGATACTTTAAAGCGAGAATCGACACTCTGAAATAAATAAAAATTTATTTTCTCTTTGTTAATATGGAACGTTTAACACTATATCTTTTATTCATCTTAGCGTGTGGATTCAGTGCTTGGAGTGTGATCACGTGTTTATGAATCACCCTGTATATTATACAAATGGAGATAATTGCAGTAATGTGATAAATATTAAAGTAGTATAATAATTATGTATATATGATCATATTTCTCTTTAAATAAAAATAAAAATTATCTACAATATCTGAATGAAATTGCCAGAACCTTAACAGTCTAAATAACATAGTAAAACTATGTTCCCTACTTGTTTTATTTACCAATTGTTGTTATGAATACAATCTTTTTTCTTTTTATTATCAAAATTGATGTATACTGGTTACTACATATCCCACTATTTTTAATAAATAAATACATAAAATTAATTTTGTGAAACTCTAAAATAGTGACAAAATTAAACTTGGAAGACCTAAAAGAATGAAACAAAATATCAAATAATTGGTTTCTAATATTTTGTGACACATAGCTTATAAAATTTGAGATGTAGAAACAACGATAGAAGTTCAACTTATAAAGGGACACCTCGACTTCTAATGGTCTGGCTATTTTAAATTCGAGTTACAGAGATAAAATAATTTATTTAAATACATGGTAAATAATTTCAATTAAAGTAAATATTATTTGAATTTATGATAGCTTTTACTGCAAAGTGGGAAGAAATGGACAAAATATTAATTTTATAGATCACTTTTGAATTGAAAAGGTATAAATTATTAAGGTATTATCAAAATTTAATTGCGCTATTTATCCTTTCTGAAATATCAAGGTTAACTTCCTTGTAAGATAAGGAGACTTTGATGAAACAAAGCGGCTAAGACTGAAATGTTTTAAAAATATTCGAAGAAATTCCTGGCTCGATTCACATGCACCCACGTGCAAGAATATGGTAGAAGGAACTAGTAGAAATTCTACGAGTATCATTAGAAACATCGAGAGAGACCAATTATGTTAATGACATTGAATCTACGTGCAACGAATATGCAACTATATGCTAATGGCATCATGTCTATGCGTAACGTTCTACACGTGAACACTTTCGAAGAGAGACACCAACGTGATTTTCGAGTTTACAAGAACACGCATAATAAATTTGACTAGAAAACCGCTATCGGACATTCTTTTCCCTGTCACAGAACTTCTACCGATCTTTAATGAGTACCTAAACATAGCATGCATAAATAATTTTAGTGATACGATAAAAATGAGTGAATATATTAATTATAGGCCTGTCTCAATATGAGTGGACATTAATTTTCTTCTAAAGCAGGTATATGTTTTCAGTAATAATAAAAGGAAAAATTCTGAGGCCAGTCCTTTTGACTAGATTGGTATTGGCATTGGTATTGGTATTGGTAATTATAGTTTTATCTCAATACGAGTCGATATTAATTTTTTTCTAAAGCAGATTTATGTCTTCAGTAATAGTAAAAGGAAAAATTCTGAGACCAGTCCTTTTGACTAGATTGGTAATGGTATTGGTATTGGTAATTATAGTTCTATCTCAATATGAATCGATATTAATTTTCTTCTAAAGCAGGTATATATTTTCAGTAATAGTAAAAGGAAAAATTCTGAGACCAGTTCTTTTGACTAGATTGGTATTGGCATTGGTATTGGTATTGGTAATTAGTATTGGTATTGGTAATTATAGTTCTGTTTTAATATGAGTGGACATTAATTTTGTTTTAAAGCAGGTATATGTTTTCAGTAATAGTAAAAGGAAAAATTCTGAGACCAGTCCTTTTGACTAGATTGGTAATGGTATTGGCATTGGTATTGGTATTGGTAATTATAGATCTATTTCAATATGAATCGATATTAATTTTCTTCTAAAGCAGGTATATGTTTTCAGTAATAATAAAAGGAAAAATTCTGAGACCAGTCCTTTTGACTAGATTGGTAATGGTATTGGCATTGGTATTGGTATTGGTAATTATAGATCTATTTCAATATGAATCGATATTAATTTTCTTTTAAAGCATGTATATATTTTCAGTAATAGTAAAAGGAAAAATTCTGAGACCAGTTCTTTTGACTAGATTGGTATTGGCATTGGTATTGGTATTGGTAATTATAGTTCTATCTCAATATGTGTCGATATAAATTTTCTTCCAAAGCTGGTGTATGTGTTCAATAATAGTAAAAAGAAAAATTCTGAGACCAATCTTCTTAACTAGATTGGTATTGGTATTGGTATTAATTCTAGCATTAATTATCGTACAATTATGGGAGTAACTATGATTGATAACAGACTAGTACCTTTATTACCTTTTAGTCGTAATGTGTGAATTAGGCCACATCAATTTGATTTTATTTATGTACGTGGTTACATTTCGAATATCAGAATAATTTAATTATGCGGAAGTAATGTAATGTAAAAATTAATTTAGAGGTCCAGG